AAAGGGGCTGATCCTATCACTATGATCACCCACTCAGGTGATTTCCCAAAATGCCTCAATATGCCTAAGTATTTGACCCTTAATGATGAATCTCACTGATTGGACACCAAAGACAACCGGTTTAACACCTAATATAGTACCATAATCAAGTTTGGAGTTTTGTATAATTTTTTTTTTGTTTTTCACATCTATCTTCAAGGTCTGGGGTATAACTGGAAATCAGTTAGGATAAATTCTGTTCCTTAGCAGCTCATAAAATCTGTTCCAACTGTTTGGCAACATACATGTGTCAACCTTATTAGGATAAATTCCCCAAGTCTTCAGGAGTAGAAGCATTAATTCAATTGAATTAATTAATATTTGAAATTCTGATGCACTTGTTTTATATAAAAGCCATTGTCCCATTGTAGTTGACCAAATAAATGACAAAAGGACCTTAATAAGCAATTCTACCAAAATATGAAAAATGTATTCATAGTCAAATAGCACAAGGGAATTTTAGTCATGGATAAAAATAGTACAAGGTAGGACAAAATGAGAAACCCATCGTCACTCCACACATACACAAATAAAAAAGATAATCATATTCCAATGAAAGAGAAAAAAGGGACTAATAGAAGAAAAACAATGAAGAACAATAATAGGGCACATAAGAAAAGGATAAAAAAGCAATAAATAAAATAAGCACTACACTAAAAGCTACCATTGTGAAGTATAACTGAGAAGGGGGAGAATGTTGCAATAAAATGTTAACTGAAACTTGAGATGAAAGATAAGACAAACAATTAGAATAATGAAAAGACAAGTAACACTATTAAAGCACATGAATTATACAATGTTACCTCTATTAATAAACTTGGAGAAAGCAATAACTATATAAAAGACAAGAGCGAAGAACAGAATAGAGTAATAACTACAAAGAAGCTAAGAGTGAAATAGAGAGTAAAAAAAATGCAAAGTCAAGAGAATATAAACAAAATGAGAAAATAGGTGATGTGTACAAGAGATTTTGGGGAAAAAAGCACATTCAAACTAACAGGAATTAATTCAGCCACTTGAGAAAAATGGTCGTTTGCCATTGAAGCAAATGTTAGAAGCGAGCACATGCATAAACAAAAAAGCAAAACCTGGTGGCCAAACATTGACAATATATAAAGAATTCTGGAAGATAAACAAAACCTCAAAAATCTTCAGCAAAAAATAGTATCGGGTCTGAGAAATTTGTTTACACAACTAACAGAGATCAAATCAGTCTCCCACAACATCCCACAGTACATCCCTGCCATGTATTAGGAACATTTCTTGATGATAATACCAGATACGGTGAGAATGTGTTGTGGGACATTGTGGGGGAATCTTGTGGAATGCTGATTTGAATTCCAACTAACATTGCAACTAGTAAATAGGAAGGACTTCCAAAAAGGAAAGGTTGTAAATATGTGGGCAATTGTAACAAATATTATGAAAAACTTGAAAAATTCGGCAGCATTAATTACAAAGCCAACAAATGCAAGCAATGACAATAGAAGCTTAAATCAGATGCAAATATGCTCAATGCCAAAAAAAAAAAAAAAAAAGGTAAAAACACTGAATTCATAAAGCTGGAAATAAGCAAAAAACATCCCAAAAAAAAGGAAAGATAGCAATTGTAACAAATACTAAAAAAATCTAATAAAGTTTGGCCACATTAATCGCAAAGACAACAAATGCAAACAAGGGATACAAAGGAATAATTCAGGCAGCATTGTGTTCACTGTTCAAATAGCACCAAAATAGAAAAATACACACGCAAGAAAATCACCCAAAAAACGGAATAAAAATAAAATACCAAATCAAGAGAAACAATAGGCCCAATAGCAGACCACACAAAGCCCAAATTTATGAGGCCCAACAACTTATACACATAGGATTAATTATTTATATATCTCTTCAAAACCTACTTATACATACCTTGTTGAACTTTCAATGGTTAAATCTAACAGATGAAATGTAAAAAGCAAAAATATCCTTAATTGTTCATTAAATTTCAAATTATGCCATTTTCTTTCTTCCTCCTCCTTCTTCAATGCTACAAAACACCATCTCTAAGCCGTTGGCTCCATAAATAATCTTCCCATTGAAGAAACCGATATGCAAGGGAAGGCTGAATCCATCTCTAAGCTGCAACCTGCAAGAGGAGAGTTGGAGGGCCAGTTGAAACTGAACCCTATCCATGGTGATTGGGACGACTTTGCAGATTCTATTGTAATTGTTTTTGCTTCGTTACCTATTATAGGTAGATGTCAATACCTCCCTAGAGAATAGAGAAAAGGGAAAAGAGGAGGGAGAGAGAGAGGAACAATTTCTCTAATTCTGCTTACCGTTTCTATTTCATTAAACGAAGAGAGAGAGAGAGAGACCATGGTTATCAGTTCTGGTTTTTTGATTGTCCGTCTCTTTAATACAGAAAATTTTTGGGTTTTTGTTTTTAATCATAGAACCTAACTGTAATATTGGTATTATAACCGGGCCGAGCCGGGTCACGGGTGTGTACGTCCAGTCCTAGAAACAATGCTTCACTGTTTTCAGGCAAATTCCGTCGCAGGTGCCATTGTAGACGCAACTGCTGCTTCAGAACCAAAATCAAAACCAAAACATCAATAGGTCGGTGCTCCCACTAGAAGACAAATGAGGAGACGCCACGTACATCCCTAATGAGGAGACCAGTAAGGCGACCACCTCGGTCAAGTCCAATAATACCGCTTCTACGTCAGGGTCCAGGAAGAACAAGCATAGGAGGCGCCCTAGGCATGATCCTGTTAAGAGTCGACTCGGCCCCAAGGTGGAGGAACAGTAGAAGAGTTTGGCTAAAGACCAAGAGGTCAGCTGGTCGAACACCACAACCACACTGTAGTTCACTCGGACTTCGCCCCATACTCCGGACATACTGCATCAGCTCCTAGAATTGGTTGTGGTCCATTCCAGCAGGAACCATCAAGGGCTTGACTACCTGAGGTCAACTAGCTACTCAAGTTATGGGCTGCCCAAGTCAGGGAGTGATATGCTCCACCCTGCCGTGGAGCGGTCCGCCAGTCTTCGGTCAAGATGTAGGTCTGGCTAGTCAGCTTAGGCCGACCTAGTCAAGTGCAACATGTCGCCATGTGATGCCAGGTGTCATTAGACAGTTTAGTTTCGCTACGTGTCTCTTCGCGACTGGTCAGCCAGATTACCTAAAGAATATTTCACTATATATCTTAAAATTGTATTGCTTATATGCTTGAGATACTAATATTTTGAGTTCCGATTTGCAAAGGCTCATAAAAACAAAAATGGGCATCTATCTTAAGTTTAAAAGAAGTGGTGTAAGCTTAAAATTTTAAATCCATTCATACTTTTTGGTGAAAACCGAAGTCCTTAGTATGGAATGGATAAACTGATTTGACCATCTGATTTTGTCCAAATGTGATAATGTTGCTATTTCGAGTGTTACCAACTTTTAGGCTTTCTTTAGATATGTTTTTGCTTTTCTTTCATCTTTGGGCCAAGGAAAACAAAATTGAGCCAGCAAGTTATTTTGGGCATTTCGTTAAAAGTTGCTTTTAAAAATGTTATAATCTGAAGCCTCCAAAAAGTACAAGAAATGCTTGCCTGTATGGAAAAAAAAAATAGTATGGGCTGTTTTGAAGCTTTTTTTTTTTTTTTCCATGATACATCACCCCACTTAATAGTCTGGGCTGTATGGGAAAAAAAAAAGTCTGGGCTGTTTTGAAGCTTTTTTTTCTCTCGTACATCACCCCACTTAATAGTGATTGCAATTTAGTTTTTTTACCCCGTATCCATGCTAATGCATCATGCACACAAAGCTTCAAAACAACCAAACTCATGCCTGAATGCCCATCTTAGTTTAAATGGAATCCCCACGGAGAGCGCCCCATAGCATATCACCCCGTGCATTGGGAACTGTCAATACAAATTTCTCGTCTAAAAATGATGATAAATATCAATTTTTTGAGATTTGGTAAAATAGGATACAAATCTCAATTCTTTGAGATTCAATCTCTTTACAATGAGAAAGCCTCCAATTTTTTTCTTTAAACATTCAATCTGAGGACTTGAAAAGCTTGTTCTCCGATGGATCTGGAAGTATAGGATTCAATCCAAGAGTTGATGAAGCTTCCTCCCGAACCGGTGTTTGTAGATCTTGTAGCAATTGCACCTTAACGGTCTTTTGTAGAGAGAAGAACTCTAAAACTTTTGTCAATGAAGAACTTTAGAGGTCTTCTGTATATGAAGGTCTCCGACTTCTTATTCTCCCAAAGATCTCTTGTGAATTGGAAAAATGATCCTTTCCTTATGAATGAAAACCCTTTTATAGAGGTGGATTGAGAGAATCTTAGTTGGTCTCAACCTTTTTGGTGAAAGCTTATCCTTGGAGTTTCAACCAATAACCTAAACTTGTGGGGCCCATGTGGCTAAGAGAAGATTTTCTTCTTATTTGCAAAGTTAAGGTTGGAATAACCATTTTGAATAGGATTTACTCAATCTTAACTTTTTATCCAGATTTCTTTCTAGATAATTTGAGGACTTTTATACTGTTTTAGTGGGTCCCACTTGAGTCCATTGAATTTAGACTTTGTTTTGTAGAATTGGGCATGGTCAATGCCCATTTAATTTGGACTTGAGTTATTGGAGAACTTGGGCTTCCATCTTAAATTTGTAGATCCAGCCTAATTGTAATGTGGACATGTGGTACAAAATTGTATGTGCCTATAGGAACATCACCCATACTTATCATGGGGAGGTGTTCCCAATGCACAGGGGAGATACCTATGTGGGGAGCCCCTCCAATTCCCATCTGAGGGCTGAAGAGCCCATATTGACTGAACCCGATCTCGGATTTGCTCCTCTAAGAGTGCTCCTCACAGCAAATCGCAGCCATTCATTTGGCACATATCAAAGAAAAAAACAAACAGTTCAAAGCGGTGGCGCCAAAATCCATGTCCACAAAGAGAGAGAGTTGATGGGATGAATGTAATCGGAGATTCTTTAGCCAAAATTAATGTGTAGAGTCGGCCATCTCTCCTTTAACAATGTCACTCATCAAAAATTAAGAAGGAAAAAATAAAGAAAATATTAGAAAAACTGAATACAAAATTTGTGCAGGTACGCCCACCACCACAGAAGGATGAAGTTTCATATCCTTTTATGATGAAATAAGGCCAATATAGCCAGCAAATACAGCCAAGATGCACGAGACAACATATGCACAAGCAACAATTTCTGGTTCTTTATACCCGCACAACTCAAAGTGATGATGCAAAGGCGCCATGCGAAACAAGCGGCGGCCAGATCCATGCAAATACTTAGTGGTCTTGAAATAGAACACCTGATCCATAAGAATAGCCAATTCTAATACATGTAAGGCGCTGCATGGTAGCCTCCAGCTAAGAAAATAAGTTCACATCTCAGGAAATGTCAATAAAAATAGAAGTCATATTGTGGTTGATGCATGCTTGGCCTAGTTTAATGAGAACTCAAACTTCTAACTTCTGCCAAGGTATCTATACACGATCCACCACCAAGTTTTTTTTTTTACTTTTAATTAATAAAATCTGAATGGCTAACTTCCACTTTGATGTTAATATAGCGTCTCTTAACAGATTTTGTGGATTAAAATGAACAATTAGATGGTGTGATTTAACAAAGTGGTGATTTCCACTACTTCAAACAGTTGGGTTACATCATTTATTGTAATAGATATACGTGGTGCACAATATAGCAAGGACTTGGACATTGTGAGGGATATACTTGTGTGGTTAAAAAAATAACATTTTAAATATTCCGGTTTTGTTTCCCCTAAGATAGGCACCAAAACAACCGTTACCATTCAGAAAGATCACTATGATTAAAAGGATTTAGACTTCGTGAGTAGACCTGTTCATGGGCCGTGCCGGGCTTTGACTCTTTATTAATAGAAAACTGTTAGGCCCGAGCCCGAGCCCGGCCCGACCAACGGGCCTACAACTTGGGCCCGAGCCCGGCCCTGATAAAAAGCCCGAAGCACGACCTAATAAAAGAAATTCAAAATTTTCCGACATTTTCTATTTTAATTTAAATGTTTTTTTCCCTTATTTAAATGAACAATGGGCCTTCAAGTGAATCAATGACCTCAAATCAAAAAATTTATTCAAATAGATATCACATAGGGTTTTTACTTAGGTTTAACTATAGGTTGGGCCGGGTTTACTTAGGTTTAACTATAGGTCAGGCCGGGTCGGGCTATTTTGGCAAAGCCCGAGCCCAGCTCGAATTTTATGCGGGCCGGGCTTTTTGGCCCGAGGTTAAGCCCGCGGGCCAAAAAGCCTGTTCAAGCCCGTCCGAGAGTCGGGCCGGGCCGGCCCGTCGGGTCACCCGGCCCATGAATAGGTCTATTCGTGAGGATATATGTTTGTTTTTTGATAAATGAGGATACAATCCGTGTGTTTCAAATAAGAAAAGAAACAAAGAAGACATGAGTTCAATTGTCACTGGTATCAGTATACTGGTGGCTTCATCTAAGCTGTCATCAGTGTCTTCTTCCTCCTCACTACAGACCACCCAACCTTCATCTGCTTCCTCGCTTTCTTCTAATCTCTCCCTCGTATACCTAGGGTTCGGGCGCTTTGAGGTGTGATGATCTTCGTTAGAATCGGCTGGGTTTTGGCGAGAAACCCACTGTAGAGAGTTCTCCCGAACTGGTTTCCGCCCCGCCCTTGCACCTCCTTACCTTCGTCACCCCTCAATTTAGACGATGATAGACGGGAAGCTCCGTCTATTGTCTCCCTGTTCCCCTTAGTCTTGCCCCGATCCATGTGACCACTTAGGTTGTCATGTGGATCTTTATTTCTATTACTCAGCTCTGTGGTTAAGCTGCCTGTACACCCAGCCGGTTCGGACAAAGCAGCTTAGGTTGGACAAATAGGAACACAGGGTTTTTTCGCCATGTAAACATAAGACACGCCTTCTCTATTTCTACCTAATTCAAAAAATTTTTAATTAACTTCCTTAATTGGCTGACCTGTCAATTGGTTCACCCTGGTTGACTGGCTCTTTTCTATTTTAATCTTCTTCTGCATATCCTTCTCCCCCATTCCCCTCCGTCCATGTGTCCTCCATCCTACTAGTTTGGTATCGTCTTCAACCTCAGGTAATCTTCCCCACCATGACACTTCGACTTCAGAAGCCACCCACACCCGATACCAAGCTCCCTCGGAACATATTTCAAACAATCGAGGCAGGTTCTCGTGTTTGATTCCTGCAACTCAAAGCTCGATTGCACCCAAGTTTCTTTGATTTGCTTCCAGTAGAACACCCCCCAGGCTTCGAATGATGTGTTCAAGAACATGTTCACATCACAGATTAAAGGGAAGCCCTAGCAACTTCAACAGAGAGCACCCATCTTTGACCTCTACCTTGTTGCAGATTGGAGTCCAATTTTGGACCTGTATCAGACCACCATCTACTATTACCGTATTGAAGCTCAGCTCCACCTCACCAACGTCAAGAACAGCTTCTCTTTCTGCAAGAGGAAGCAGGATCGCTTCAATATCAGGTCCTACCTTCAGTCTTATTGCATCCAGAACTTTCATCTAGTCCTTCACTCCCTTGTCTGCCATTAGAACCATCCGTTTCTTCCACTTATCGACACCAGCCTCAACCAATGATCTGCGGTGTTCAGAGGAGCATACAACCACAATACCAGAGTGTAACAAGTGTTCTCTTCGCCGCACCATCAAGTGCCAACCACCGTGCCTACAGCTGCCACTCCAGCGTCCAAGTGTGTGTCATGGGTGGGCTATGCATGTACTTCTGTATGGGGGATTGCCAATGGCATTATTGTAATACTGTAGTATGCTTTTTCACCTTTTTGATGTTTCTTATTGTCACTCCCCCAAAAGCTTAACG